TGTGCACACCTCAAGCCCGGTTGTCAGCGTTTCCCTCAGCCCGTTGCCTCTAAGGCCACGGGTGAATTTACAGGGCTGACAGTAGAAACACTGAATGGAAAATGCAAACTCCTGTCTTCAGCGTTTGCAGTAGGAGCCAAGTGTAGCACCCCGAAAGAGGATGAAGCATTTTCCCAAGTCAGTGCCATTATTTGGGGAGAAAAAGAATGTTTCAGTTTTGGTTTTGGAGAAGTGAAAAGGAGCAACCCTGGTGAGCTGCCTTAAAATTTGCTCCCTTCAGAAGCAAACCCCAACAGCAATATCCTCTCACTATTATTTATAGCCAGCAAGTGATCCTGCTCCCAAATACACCTTTTAAAATGTGCAACACTTTCTCCTACCAGCACTGGGTGCTGAACCCAGTGAGCCCTTCCGTCAGGATGGAGGCCAGCCTTCCCCAAGAGGTTGGCTAGCGTGAGGAATGCACAAGGACGGTCAAAACCTGAAATTCAAGCTGGGCTTTTTCTGCCTCACACAACAGTAAAACGTGGCAGAATACCGTTAGTAAGTCTGTTGATATGTGTCAGAGCAGAAGACAGTGTTTTCCAGTCCTCGGCACTTAGATTGAGCCCCTGAAAAATCATCCCATTGACCAAATGTTCTTAAGATAACAAAATAAATAGAATCAACCCCGAACATTTTTCTTGTTCATCCTTTGCTTTATGATCCATAAGGCTATCCTTAATTTCCCTATTCCAACCATGAGAACTAGAAAAATAGAAAAATAGAAATGAAAACTGAGCTCATGAGACAAGACTACCCCCACCAAAGTCAAGTTGGCCCTGTGTGGGTTTCGGAGCCCACCCAGGCAGAGCAGCTCGCAAGACCTGTGCCTAAGATCACAATGTACTCTGCAATTACAGCACAACGCTGACAATAGCGTTGTGTCAGTAAAATAAGAAGAAATAGTTCTGAAGACACACAGGGGATATGCAGAGGGGGCTAACTAAATAAAAGAAACAATTTTGTTCACTAGTCTTTTGGGCAGGCTGAGAAAAGGGTTATAGGATGGCACGGTATTTCCCTCCACAGATGTCACAGGGACACTACAGCATGTGATTTAAGATTAATCTCTTGAATCAAAATGCCACCATGTACACTAATGAGCAAAAACTCTCTGGCAGAGTATCCGTCCCTGGGGCTCCCGCTCCCAGGTAAGAAGCTTGTCTCCATGCTATTGTAGAAACTCTCTCGGCAGAGTGCGGTGAGGTTGGTGGTATAACTTGCCCCCAGTTCACAATTTTCCATTTCAGACTCGCTGTCTCTGTCTTGGTTTCGGTCTATTTACTTGGAGCCGTTTCTTAACAATGTCTAATTTCCTCAAGGAATCCCTCTGAGTCCCCTCTCTTAGAAATGCTGCCATATCTTTTTTTTTAATCACTGAAAGGCACAAATATCCTTCCTGAGCTCTCTTACCATCCAGCCTGATTATATACATAGATTTCAGTTTCCATACATTTTCTACACAGTAGGAGTTCCCAAAACGCAGCCTCTGGGGATATAAAGTGTGGCCCCAACTGCAGCTCAATGAGATGAAAACAAAGCCGATCAGGTACTGTTTTTACTGTTAATGAGCCTAACCAGCAGGCAGTTATTACTCAGTCTGGAAGACGTAAGTGGTTGGAATCATAGCACATTCATTTTTTATTTATAGCAATGCACATTCAAATTAGATGTAGCCCTCCAGCAGCTGGCATTTTGCCAGGGCCTGACCATCAGTGTGATAAAATTTGAACATCTTGAAGATATAGAATGCCTTTTGTTGCTTTTTTTTTCTCTAATAGCATTCTTCTCCCCTCCTACTTGCAACTGCCTTGACTATCAAAAGTGGACAATGAGGCTTAATTAATTTAGGATCCTGGCCCTTACTGAAAATGAAAGAAATGAGTCCTTTTTTCTTCTCACTTGGTGGTGAGGTACAAGTCAAACATGAGCTGATCTTTTCGTAATAAAGCAAAGGCTCAAGCCTTCTGGCAAATAATAGAGTAGAAATGAACCCTTGGACAAGAACCATAAAGAAATGGGTTCTTGGAGAGGATGCACGTTATTAGCCTGTTGATCTATTAATGGCAACTGTAAATACCTCACCCAAAATCGCGGCGACTCTGAAACATTTAACCAGAGAGGCTCACAGAGCCCGGCCAGGAGAATGTGATATGAGGAACCCGCAGTAATTTGCCTCACCTTGCTAGTCATCGGTTTCCAACCTAACCCCTCCCCTGAGTTTAAGTTACAAACCTCAGTAACTGTGTGGCAGACTTGACAGCAATTAACATTACTCAGCTGCCAGCTGGGTTTTAAAACCTCCCTTCCAAGTGATCTTGTTACGTAGGTTTTAAAAATGGCCTGACAGGGTGCAGCTCCGTGCTGAGGAGCTGGGTCCTGCCTCTCTGAACTCGGTGAGATTTTGCTATTGATTTCAGGGGGAGCTGATAAATCAACGGTAGAGTAAGGGTAAACGGCACTGAGCTGTTGTTCCGAGCGTGAGGCTTGGTTTTTTGTTTTTCCTTAATCTTCTCAGTGAGGGGGCTTCGCAGAAAGCACTACTGAGAATTCATCCTTATTAGTTTAGTTCTTTAGTCCTGTGTATTACTCATACACAGGAAGGAGCATGACATGCTGCAAAGCACTCATTGACCCTCATACCTCAATGTTCAGACTTTAAAAGTCAAGGAGAACTTTCTAAGTCACTTAAAGCCAAGAAATAAAGAGTTTTGTCGGAAAATAACTAGCTGGAGTCAAACTCCCATCAGTTTTAAACCTAGCCCAGCCGCGTCCGTAGCTCTGCTCTTGGCTCGGGATGATTGCTGCGGCAGTAGGATCAGGCTGAGCGCGGCTCCAGGGACGCCTGGTCGCAGCAGCGAGTCCCGCTGAAGGCTGACAGACAAAGACACGTATTTCCCCCCTGCTCCCACCCGAAACAGGACAGAGCAATTTATTTTCCCGCAAAGACTAGGGATGGAAAAGCAGTTTTTAAGCGAAGGCTGCTCTCCTTGTTACGCAGCCCTGCCTCTGGGCCGCAGGCTGGGCTGGCGGGCCCCGCCGGCCGGGTTGGGCCCTCTCCTCCGCCTCCTTCCCACACCCGGCACCGATGAGGAGAGCGGCGAAGCGAGCACCCGGGGCTCCCCCACCTCACTCGCCCATCCGCCGTCTGCGAGCGGGGAGTCGGTGGGGTGACACACGGCGGCGCCGGCC